TGCGAAATATATTACAAATGTGAAAATAATCAATTCGTAACGAAGTCTTGTACAGGTGGATTACATTGGAATCGAGTAAAGAATATCTGTTCCGATCCAAATTCAGCAAAATGTCCAAACTATCATCCGAAAATTTGCAACGAAGGTTCTTACAAACCGGACGATAAGATATGTGAAATATATTACAAGTGCGAAAATAATCAATTCGTAACAAAGTCTTGTACAGGTGGATTACATTGGGATCGAGTAAACAATATCTGTACCGATCCAGATTCAGCAAAATGTCCTAATTATCATCCTACAGTATGTCAAGAAGGTTCTTACAGCCCTCATGAATGCCAATGTAACGCATACTATAAGTGCATAAATAACAGATTGATTTTGCAATATTGTCCATCTGGCAAATATTGGAAGCGAACTGCAAATGTTTGCACTGATCCTGATGACTCCAATTGTCGACCCAAAACAACCAAAGCGTGTTTCGAAACATTATTTGGAGCCAAGCTATGAAAATTGACAGGGCTTTTCAAATTATAAGGTTTAACAATTCAATTACTTTCATCCCTTACAACATGATCCTTTTCATTATCATTATTTAATTACTGACTTGAATGTTATAAAAGAACAAGTATTCCAATTTTAAATCAATTCATTATTTTTTTTTCTTGAATTAATTGATTAAAAGTTTTCATTTCTTATGTGCAACATCATACATGGACGACAAAAGTAAAATGAAATGAAATAAATGGTAATAATATCTAATTGGATTTGATTACTAACAATATTATCATTTCTATTGTTATCTTTTTCATCGGCTTATTATAATATAAAATCTACGTTTTGTATCTACTCTTTGTGAAGTTTTGGAAATGTTACAACTACTAACAAACTACATTATATTTATTTGTTCTAATAATGCTACTATTAACGCAATATTTTTTGTCCTGTATTTAGTCTGAAATAACACATTCTAATAAATATTCATTATTATAATTTTCATTAAAATCATGTGATTATGTCAAGCGATTAAACTTTGCCATTGTAAAATTGCTAAATATTTATCTATATGTCAAACTATAAAACAATTTGAAATGTTTCATTACATACAATATTCATTAGCCATTTTTTCTACAAAAAGAATGACTAAAGTCTATCAAATAATCATTAAAATATCAACTTTTTCTTAATACTTTAGTTACGCGAAGTGCTCGAATTTAAAATCAATTTTCTACATAATAGAACATGATAACAAATAGATAAACGTATATTGAAAGAAAATTTAGATCATTATAGATTCATATTTAAGTTCAATAAATATCATTTCAATCGATATGCATCTCTTTATATTAATTAAAGTCACTAAGAAACAGTTTTTTATTGACAACAATTGCTGGGATTTACAGGTATGCGTAAAGCAAGAAAATACAAATTGCAAGAATAAAAATGAAGACACCAAAAACACTGCCGTAGCTCCTAGATCTTCAAAAACAGGTGCTTCTTTATTGCTACCAGTTGAAAAATCAATAAAAGCAGTCTCAAAAAAACATAGTGGAGTGCCAGATCAATGTCCATCACATGACTCTGGCGAGGTAGTACATTTGCCTCACGAAACAAATTGTTCACTTTTTTACAAGTG